CACACACACACACACACACACACACACACACACACAGATACACACGCGGAGGAAAGCGCTCCAAAAACATCCCAGCAAAGGTGAGGATCATTGCACTTCTCGGTACGACATGCGCCATAGAACTCGGCAGAAAATTTAGACGCACACAGACACGTACAGGCGTGCATGCAGGCAAGCAACGAGCGGCTCCAGAGAACCACCACTCCCTCACTCATTCCCCCCTCCCTCTCTCATCTCTCTCTCCCTTCCCCCCACCCACCCACCTTGGTTCTCAATGGCCGCCGTCGTAGCGCGCGAACATATTTCCGCCATAGCCGCGTGAAGAGTGTATGACGCGCCATAATTGCTTCGCTTTCCCCTTCGCCTTCCCGTTCTGCTCGTGTAAGTCTTTCTCGCCTCTCTCTGTCTGACAATCTGCGCAAAACGGAGTACTACTTAGAAAATGACGAAGCTATCAACCGCGCGGGATCCCGATTGGATCTCTCGATTTCGACTGCGATTGGGTGTTCCCCTTTTTAGTATTTTTCAACGTCGCCACAGTACAGCCGTGAGATGTTCAGATCCGACGGCAAGAACCGGTGCGGACTCGAAACCAAGTGTAGAACCAGGCCACCTGCTTAACGTACGGTCGTTATAGCTGTATGTGCGAGGCATGTTTCAGTCTAGATACGGCTATATTGGGGGGAAGAAGGTAGTGGGACTTAGCGCACGGTAGCAACCGTGACCGAGCTGATATGATTCACAGCCACAGTCAGCAAACATAACAATTGGCGGTCGGGCAAGGAAAGGCAAAGCGAAGCGGGCGGCAGGTCCAGGAGAATCGTGTGACAATAATGAGCGGCCGGTCGAGAGGACTGTGTGACAACGGGTGGCACGTCCAGGCGACTGTCACGCAAGGGCGGCGGCAGCAGGGTCGGGTGACGTCGTGACAACAGGCGGCAGGTCCAAGCGACTGTGAGAACCAGCCGCAAGTCCAGGCCGCACATTCCCGTGGGAGAACTTTTTTTTTTCGTTAAAAAAAAGAAAGACAGGGCGACGGCCTTTTTTTTTTTTTTTTTTTTTTGCTGCATTCTCCTCATCGGCGGGGCACAGCCATAAATATTTTTCTTTCTCATCGTCCCCCACCCTCATCGAGTAGCAGCAGTGGCTATGGCCAACACTACTGGCAGGTCTGGCTAACCCTAGGGGCAAGGGGCAACATGGAATCTCCCCTTCACAGTGAGCGGAAACTATGCTTGCAGGGGTCCCCTCTAGATAGCCTTAGGAGTAGGTAGTGAAAGGCAAAAACAGAAGTTGAGAGAAGAATATAGAAAAATATATATATATATCTCACCTCACATATCTTTTTAACTGGCGTTCTGCCATGTCATCATGGAACATATCTTTTTTTTTTTTTTTTTTTTTTTTTTTAATCAAAAGTCCATGGTGTTGTAAAGGCCAGTCACTGAGTACACAGTGATCATATGGAGCAGTAGGCCATGGGTGTCCTGGAATATGGGACCACCTCCCATCACATCCTCATGTCAATACTCCAAGGGCACCCCCTATCCCACTATCCTGCCTCAGTGTGACCAGCACTTAGGACCATTGCCCTACCAATGGGCAGGCAACTTGGACCGAACAGCAGCGATAGGCACCAGGGCTGATAGGTTGCCCAGCCCTGGTGGAAGCGGAATAGGACGAGCCTTGTCGAACGGGAACTTCGGACGCCAGGCCCAGACAATCTACTACAGGCCCCAACAGATTCTGGGCCCTAGGTTTCAGACAGGGTAGCACCCAATGAGACAGTCTTACCGTCCTTCTCCTAGCTTACCCAAGGCCAGGCGGAACTCGGACTGGCCTGAGTGACTTATACCCCTACCCTTACCCCAGGGTCTAAGCCTTATATATAGCCACTAGACAGTTCTACCCGAAAATCAGTAGGAACTCCGGTGGCCCAAACCTGTCTCTACCGCAGATAGTAGACCCCACCCAGTGACTAGACCCCCCCAGTCTGATAATTGTGTAGTTCGCTGCATCGATGTATGAAGATGTACAGACTGCACTATGTGTGGAAACTTGTGTATGTAGCCCGTAGGCCATGTATAAGTCACAAGCTATGTATATGCCCGAAGGCTGTGTGTGCTCTGTGAATCTATGTATCGAGATGTATAGGCAGCATCATGTGTGAATATCGAAGAGAACACGGGGTAAGCTGGACAAGGACCCCCCCAAGGTCTGAACCAACTTGAAGCTCGAACCCGTGACCTTGCAATGTATAATCGAATGACTCTACCATGTGAACAACTGGTGGAAATGGCATGAACGTGTGATATGTCAGACTGGGGAGATCAACAGAAACCCCAAGATCAACACCCCCAAGCAACCCATGTGAAACCCAGAACCAACATACAACACCATGAACAACCCTTGGGTGGTGCGCAGGCAGTGTCTGTAATAGCTAACCTGCGTTGTGACAAACCAATTTCGGTTCCGCGCGATTTTCTGCACGATGCCAATGAAGGGTCCTAAGATGGCAAGGTTGGGCCAATTACGGGAGATCGGGATTGAGGGAAAATTGCATCAGTGTCCTCGCTTTTTCGTCTTTTCTCTTTCGTCGCTTCTTTGCGGATGGCTGGGTTCAGGGCCGGGCAAGTCCTGAGAGGGCCGATTGAGTGGCTGTCGCGCCGACAAGGCGCGATTAATAATGGTTGACGTCACTTCTTTCCTGTTCCGTTGTCGGATTTTAGGCGCAGAGATCGCGCGGGAATTTTTGCTTCGTCCTTTTTCGAACTTTCCTTTCTTTTCTTTTTGAATCTTGTAGAGCCCTTGAAGGCTCTCGGAACTTCGGATTTTCTTTTCGGCATTAGTATTTCTTTTTGCATTAGCTAGGAATTTAGGAATTCGGGATTTCTTTTGCCGCGCGCTGTCTTTCTTGCGCGCTTCTTTTTGCGGCTACAACGGAGCTCTGATTAGTCGGCGCCCTTAATCTTGCAAGTAACTGTAATTTTTGGGCGGGCGCCATTGTAACTGTATCTTTTTTCTTGAGCTTTGTCCTTCCCGCCCTCTCTTTCCTTTTGCTGTGCCTAGTTAGCCCCGCGACCTGCATGCTCGGATCGATGCGTGGAGAGTGGCTACGTCCCCCACGCCGCGGTCTGGCCATGCTGAACGTAGGCGCTTTCTCTCCTAATCTCCTTTCTAAGTCCTTGCAATTTCGCGTTCTTCGCGCATGCATGCACGCTATAAATTTCGGCTGCGCGATTAGATAACTCTCTTAACCAGCTGTTGGAAAAGCTCGGGGTAGCGCGATCAGTGAGGGTCGGCTCACGAGCGACGTAAAAGGTGAGTTGAAGTGGGAGTCGGGCGACCCGACGAGCTGGTGCCGAATGCATGGGGTTGGCACATGGGGCTACGACGGACTGTAGCACGCGGGCGAACCTGACGGGTGCAGGAGGACCAAGCGGGGTGACGACTTCGTGGGTTGGTGCGTGACGACGGACTGTCCACATCAGAGAGAGAGAAAGAGGAAGAGGGAGCTGAGGTTGATGGACGTGGAGTTGCAATTTTCTTTGTCTTATCCCCCTCTTTGCTTTTGTATATAAATTTTGATCTCGGCTCAGGGCGATTTGCCGGTTTTCTTTTGTTTTCGGAATCCTTGTCTCAGTTTCGGCCCACACTCGTTTTTGCGATTGATCTTGATCTCGTTTATTGTGTGTTTTGTCGAACGAATGAATGGATAAATGTTATGTCCGTTGTTTTTCTTTTGTCTGGTCATTGCCCTTGCCTGCCATTACGATACATCCATAAGCATGGTAGGAAATTTTGTATTGCTTCCGTTATTGCTTATCACTTTTATCCGATGTTGTTCTGATATTGTTGTCACAGTGATGTCTGATGTGTGATAACTTGCATGTTCGGGAATGATTGCTTGCGGGATCACGGGGTGATTGGATGATTGGGTAGTTGTTTACGACGTATGGCAATTTTGCATAAGGAATTAGTCTCTCATTTAGGCGAATGCCTCGCGGGGATACGTGTAAGCGCGATTCGATCTGTGCAGCCTATACGTATCCACGCGCGCCGATTCGCGACCATTGACGAACTTGACATCTCCGGTATCGAGTAGGCGATAATTTTCCTTCCCCCATGCACCTAAACGAATAGGAATTTCCAATATCACATCGGGAAAGTTCCCTTGTCGATTAGATGCGTGCGGGAGAACTCCACTACCCCGAGGGCCCGCGATGACAAGATGACGAGCTCCTGGGACTCGGAGTACTTCGACCCTTGGGTGAGAGAATGTATTGGGCAAAGATACCCGGAATTCCCCTGCCTAACCGATAATCGATTATGCCCAGGGAGTTTCACTGTGCCGTAACTAGCGATCCGAGGTGCCCCGATTTTCCCACTACGGATAACACGCAATACTTCATATCCCCCGACTTTGTCGTTATCACTACCAATTTCCCTCCCTTCTGTCTCCTCCTCCCCTATCACCAACTCACGGTGGTACCGTGGAATTCCATCACCCCGTATTGGCCCCGCATGCCCTGCGGAAATTGCCGACGACGCGGCGACCGACGAGCCCAAGAAACTAGGAGGCCTAGCCCAAACGCGCGACGACAGACGCCACGTGTCTGCACTCGAAGGCCCGACTCATCGAAATCGCAGCCATCCCGGGCAGGCCCCTCCCCGAGCCGCCGCCACCAAAACCGACGGATCGGACGGCCTTGAATGCACCGTGCATGCCATCTGCCTTATGCTGCATGACCCGACCGCTATCAGACCGGAAGTAACTCGCCCCCTTAGCCATA